TGCTAAAGAATTAAATAATTTATAAATTCAGTTCCCCAGATGCGTACTCTCGGAGACTCCCCAGTTGAGTTCATTTGCTTCTGCGATGCGTCTAAAGCAGGCCTTTGGATTTACTATGTACGCTAAACAAGGAACTCAATGTTCCTTATTATTCGCCAAAGCCAAAGTAGCTCCCATCAAGGGGAAATCACTCCCTACCCTGGAACTTATGGCCATATATCTGGCCCTTAAAAATGTCCCTCAGCTTTTAGCGGCCTTAAAGCCTATAAATATCCTTGCCCTTTACCTTGTGTCAGACGCTCAAGTAGCCCTTTCGTGGGTTTTAAACGGCAAAGGGTCCAAAAAAAAATATATTTGTTGAAAACCGAATATCTGATATTAAAAGGTCTTTGGAGGAGATTACCCTCAAATTTAGCATATCACCTAAACTTAATTAACAGCAGACAAGGCCAGCATAATCAAAATTAATAATATTAATAATTAACGGAATATTCTACAGTTAAGTCCCTAGGGACAACTTTGTTACTGTCACCTATTGACAGTCTTTAATTACATTATTTTTTATTAAAAAAGTAATGATTAACCATTACTTTTTCCTTTCTTCCTTGGCAGTGTGTAAGAAATTCTACAATTTAAGCTCCTATTGGCTAATTTTGTAACGACCAATCTCATTGGTCGAATTTTGACTTGGTTTTTTCGGGGGCATTTTACAACCCGCCCGCGCTCTTTTGACTCATTGGAAGTTCCGGACTCATTTGAATCTATTTGGACTAGCGCCCAAGCCTAAATAATTAGGCATTGAATGTCCTTCAGCAATCAAAATGTGACTTCATTTGAATCTATTTGACAGGGGCTATTAGCGCCCAAGCCTAAATAATTAGGCATTGAATGTCCAGCAACCAAATTCAGATTAGCATTGGAAGTGTCCACTCAAATCTATTTGTAATTAGCCTTCAGCAACCAAAATGGTAATGCTTCAGAGACAGTTGCGGATTAATATTAGAATGGTCCGGACTCAACTTTGAATTTCTTTGCACAGCCTTTTAAGCCCAAGCCTAATAATTAGACATTGAATATTCCTTTCAGCAACCAAATGGTAATTGCTTCAGAGACGACGTCATGTTCCAGCATCTTATTTCCTTCAAGGCTGTATAATTCAGTCATTTATTGACTGTCGTCAAATGTGTACGTTTACACGAAGAACTTTACTTTATGAACAAACTCTACAATAGCCGAGTTTCAACTTCAGCAACCGAAATGGTAATGCTTCAGCAACGACCAGCTAAAAACAGCTTTTCTAACCTCGTAGTGACTGATTGTGTACTACAGAAGTAAAAGACACTACCTATTCATTGAAGAACTACCCTACCCTGTTCCCAGGGGCAAAAAAGGGTATAATCTTTTTTTGCAAGGATACAATAAAATTTGTTTTAAGGTAGGCCTTGTTGAATTGTTTGTCTTTCTTGTCTCTGCCAAGGGTTAAACTGTGTGAGAAGTAATTCTCACACATTTTCTATCTTGTTTTTATTAAAGTTTTTCTCTTCACTGAAATTCGTTCAAATTTCTGACTTTAAAACTGAACTTAACAAAAATAACATTGTTTTATAATCCTGATGATTATTTAAGACGAACAACATTTATATTTCCAATTTTTCGGTTTCATGTTTACAGTTTAATGAATGATTTATCGCATGTTATGCTTCCTTTTATTATACACGGAGAACATAGTGTTCCAAAATACTTATTCTCCATTTGATTTTTAAATTTGAAAAATGTTTTGAGATACCTTTATTGTGAAAGAATATTCATGTGTGTGTCTGTGCGCGGCACTCATTTGCACGTGTTTCGAATTTGGAAAGTCAAATATCGAGGGCTAAGCATTTTATATTTTGTCTGGGAAAATTCTTCACTTAATGAAGCTATTTCATATTTAATTAAAATAATAATTTACCAATTTTTCTTTCTTTTTATGTGCCATGTCCTTTCAGGACGTAGGCGATCATGTCTCTCCACCTCCCTCTATCCCTTGCAGCTCTCAACAAGTTCCTTCCCTCTGCTTCCTCCCCGAGACCACTTTCTGTCATTCACTTGCTTAAGCCCGCCAGGTATGTCATGCGTTGTTTTCCATTGTCTCTCTTTCCCACTATTCGACCCATGAGTATCAGATTCTCTAGGCCCACTTCCTCATTATGTATCGCAGAAATTTCAGCTGCCTCTTCCTGATTTACCAATCAGAATTTTTAATAGGATGTTAAGTGTTAAATTATTATCTAAAAACTTTGCTTAAGAGTCATTTTGATTAATATTTAAAAAAAAAACTTTTATTTAGGATAACTTATTTTATTTTATTCACTGCCATCTCAAAAGGCATAAAAATATTTAACTTCAAAAGGAGAAATTGTTAAAAAGCTTGTGACCATGATGATATTTGTTGTGCTATTAAATTGTTTTCAAAGTGAAGTGGTTAGAACGCTCGCTTTCCGACCATGAGACCCCGGGTTCGAATTTCACCAATTTCATCAATTTCTTGATGCTATCGGCTTTTAGAGGCGATTTCAAACGTGCTGCACCTTTTGGAAAGCCCCTGAAAACCATACCACGGGTTGACCCAAGCTTTGTGAATGAAAATGAGTAGACGAAACTATTTGGTAGCCGCCGGTGATTGGTTCAGACTGTTGATCACGACAGATAATTACCATAGTTACAGAAACTGTAACTAATGTCCACTGAGCATAGTTGTAGTATAAACCACAGTTGGGCTCTGTGGGTGTTGAACAAACACGAATGTACCTGAGCAGGAGTCTACAATAGGGATTGGCTAACCAAGAATATTTTATAGTTTTGAATGTTATTTGCTAGCGAAGAAATTATTAAGTTGTAAGAATCTATATACTCTAGAATATATTTGGGGAATAGCTACAAATATTACATAAAATGTGCAGGGACTTCGAAAAGACACAAAAATAATTAAAAATACATTTTCAAATTCAGTTTCATAAAACTGGACCCGTAAAAGCAAACTTAGTATCGTCCGATGTAGACGTAGAAGTAATCTCATCACGTGACCCTTCCTAACCAATAGGAATACAACCCCCACAATATTAAATTTTGACTTTCATTTGGAGCCTATCTTCTGCCTATATAAGAACACACTCAAAGCCACTTGGGAGACTCACAGCGAACACACGTGAAGTACTCACAGCAACTACACACGGGAGCAGACATGACGCATTCGAGCACTCATTCAGAGCGACACAAGCGAGATAAGTTTTGTCTCAAATAGCAACTACATCGAAGCCAGAAAAAGAAACCTCCTAAGTGAATTACTTCTATCCATGAATAATATACGTACACACTCGCACACGTACAATATATACTTTCGCACCTACATATATTACGCACACGCTTTACATTTGTTTTTTTTTTTTTTCAAACTTTATTGCAATAGATATTTTACAAACTCACTTTAACCCTTCTAAAAACACATTTTCTCTTTCACACAATTTTTATTAAATTCTATTCAAATTGTTAGACGTTGTCGTTTAATACCTCGTGTTGGTACAACAGTGACGTTTCGTTGGCCTTTTCATTCTCTCGTTTAACCTCAGCTGCAACATCACTATCCTTTTACTTTAAAGGGAATTAGCAATAAACGCCTTCATGTCAAAATAAGACTAACAATCAATAACATTAACAACCACCAAAACAAGTGTTAAAAAAAGTCTTCACTTATTCATCCCTGTTAGTAGAATTTAACCCGAAAAAAAAATTATACGAATATTTCCGTTTCTTTTTTTTATCCATTTATTATTCGGAAGTTTTCTTAATGTAATTCTCTGAACAATAATTTTCACTTCACTTACTTTGTTCGGTCATAAAAAGACTTTACATTATATATGCCCATATGGTTATTTTTTTTGTTTGGGCATAACTGGAAAAATAATCCTAAAATAACTTCTCCAAAACTTCCGACTGGTAAACTGTAATACAAAAAAAAATCACAGAATACATTTTATTCACATTTATTTTCAATCTAAGCACACAGTATATGAACGTACATTAGTTGTTTTAGAGGTTTTTTTTTTTGTCTTACTTGCAGTGAGCTTAGATCGTGGTTTCCGTTAAGATGACTTCTACAGTAGATGAGAATAGAAGCAAGCTATTTTCTCTTTTCGCGATACTGGCTTCGTTTATATAATCTGCAGTCAGCAATACAAGTTGTCATCACTAACTTGCGAATTCTACCCCCAGCAAACATGGTTTCTTGGTACTGTTTGAGGGCTTTGTACCTGAAGTAATCAAAATGAAATAAAGTTTCAGATCTATGTACCCTATTTAGTTAGGTTGAACAAATTAAATTATCAAACTATATCTACATATAAGATGACTTACAAAATCCTTTAAAACTATCGTCATAATTAACCTGTATAATTCTGGTAATTATGAAATCATAATTAGGATTTTTATCTGTGATGATAGCAATAAAACAAACTTGAAATCATTCATCTGGTATAACGATTTGTTAGTTTTAAATTGCCATGGCAACATTTTATGCAACATTTTTCCCCTTCATATGTAATGGAGAATCCCAAGGTATTTAAATAACAGCTTCAGTATTTGCATACTGAATTGTTAGTCTCGTCGTATTTTTAAAAAAAGACTGAACTTGCAATATGATTTTAATTGTTTAAAATGTCAATCGTTGATATTAATTCTAAGGTTTTCCTGCATTGGTTGGTTGATTTTGTTTAGCGGCGTATACGTTATTTAATGTCGATATCTGAATATTTTATACGCAATTTTATTTATTTTTGTTTTGTGTGAGATGTTAATAATGATTGTAGTGATGAAAGTCTTACTAATTAACCCATAGTTGGCGGAGAAGATGTGAATTCATACATTTCCCAAAAGTATTTGCACATAAGTGAATATAACGAACCTAACGAAAATCCTATTAATAATTCTGAGCTATCATGCATTACACCACCCGTACATCCAAGCTTACAGCACTTAGTATTTTCAAGCAGTCACCCATCTAGATATTGACCGAGCGTGACGTTGCTTAATTTCGGTGATCGTATGGGATCCGGTGTTTTAACGTAATGTGGCCATAAGCTGCACACATGACCATTTTCAGGTATATGGCCAGACAGCATTTTTTTTACTGTGCTTTTAAGTGGAGCCAGAAACATTTTATCCCCATATATATATATATATATATATATATATATATATATATATATATATATATATATATATATATATATATATATATATAATATAATAAAATAATCTTGGTAATCCGTATGGATAATCCCAAGGAGGATGAAATCCTGAGAGCTCAATGTTAAGTCAGACCGAATAATTTAATTTAAAGAAAAAAAAAGACCACTTTAAGGCTCCATTAGTTATAATTTATTTCACCAGAGAATTTTATTTAACTCTGGATCTTCAGACTTTACTTTCAAAGGTGAGAAGAAAAAATGAATTTAAAATTTACACTTTTGAATGTATTAAGTTTATATAAGGTGACATAGAGGGTGGTATGGATAGTGTGAGAGACATGGTCGAGTTTAGAGAGGGGAGAGAGAGTTTTAAAATTTACTTTTATTTTTATTACAATACTTAATATTGAGGAAGGGGTAAGGATCAGACATTGACCTATTTAATTTAGTTTATTAATATAATATTCGGTTTATATTAAATCCTTAACTTATTGGTGGAGAAGTTAAATATTTAAATTGCTAACAAGCATTAAATCTAATTTCTTTGTGAGGTTTGTAAACATTTAAATTACTATCAAACGTTAAAATCTGTGTTTATCTAAATTGCTAAAGCTCTACTACCCCTCTCCTTCCTCCAAAAACCCTACGTACATCTCTTATCTCTTTACTTCCCACTTTTTCCTCCCCCACCTTTTTTTCTCTTTTTCCATATCATTTCCGTTAAGTTGACCGATTAAATAGGTCAATGTCTGATCCTTACCCCTTCCTCCTCAATATTAAGTATTGTAATAAAAGTAAAAATAAAAATAAATTTTAAAACTCTCCTTCCTTCTCTAAACTCGACCATATCTCTCACATATTCATCACCACCCTCTGTCACCTTATATAAGCAATACTGCCCTTCAAAAATATGTAAATTTTAAATTCATTTTTCTTTCATCTTTATAAAGTGAAGTCTGACGATCCAGAAAAATAAAATTTTTTGGTGAAATAAATTATAATGAATGATATATTAAAGGGGTCTGTTTTTTCTTTAAATTATATATATATATATATATATATATATATATATATATTATATATAGAGATATATATTATATATATATTATATATAGATATATTTTGGCAGGATGTTTTCATTAAGACATGTCTCGGTGAATAATTTAGACAAGTTTTGTCTGTTATTTTCAATAAGATTCTCTCATATTCATGGACAAGTTTCTTATTATACTTATTAAAGGAAGATAGAAAAATATACCATGGTAATACATATTCATTTATTCCGAGTACTTTCGACATTAGCACAATGTCATCATCAGGGTGTTTTTTTTCTAAAATAAAATTGTTGTGTTCATCTGAAAGTTATTTTTTTATACTCTGAAATAACAAACGCTAAGGTTATGTACTCTGTACGGTTTAGATTTCACGATGTTAAACAAACTATTAGTTTAAAATATCTGGGTTTTTAACTACTGTAAACTTTTGAAAAAAGTAGTGTAGTATTCATAATTAAATTTATTAAGTGTTGGTTTAAAAAAAATGGACATTTCAAAATTCCCGGATGTTTATATGGCGAAAACTAAATCGTACTTAAAATTAAAATTAACTTTCAGTTGAATACAACAATTTTGTCTTAGAAACAACACCCTGATGATGAAAGTACTCAGAATAAATGAATATGTATCAACATGTTAATTTTCTCTCTTCCTTTGATAAGGATACTAAGAAGCTTGTCTGGGAATATGAGAATAAGTAGACAAGACTTGTCTAAATTATTCATTGCGACATGTCTTATGCGCGTATGTGTGTGTGTGTGTGTATTTACAATCAAGAGGAATTGAGATTATTTTGTGCAAAAGAAATAAAATCCCAATAAGTAAAGAAAACTTGTAAGCATACAAGAAAGTTTCGAACTTCCGGTGAAAGAGTTCACCAAATGTCTGTCTGTCTCTCTCACGCACACACGATTGGTGTTAATTTAGAAGTAATAACGTTCAATATTTATCGATGGTCAATTCAGTTTCGTAATTTTTCAATCACTCATTGGGGCTCTCGACAATCATATTTGATTCTATATATTTTATTGTATGATTTTATTATCTATCTATCTATGCGCTCTTGTGACAATGAAAATGATGGAATTTTTTGTACTTCCTTAATCCTACAAAACGGAAAAATGTAAGGATGCTGGAAAAACTTAATAAAAAATTAAATCTTCCTTGTCTGCTGTATTTAATGAAAGGTTACTACTCAAATAGACATTATATATATATATATATATATATATATATATATATATATATATATATGCTAAATTGGGAATAGCTGTATACTGTTTCATTCTCTTCTACTTGTATAAAGGGAATCAACTGGCCGGATGGCGTTTTTGTGTGGCCTAAGGTAAAGAGATAATGTAGCTCTGGTTGTTTCTGACAGCCATTAAATACGGACAAAATTTAACACTGTGTTGACCTCAATGTCCACTTTTATATTTACATACGTTATGTTCTTAATATTGAGCCCTTTAACCCATAAACATACCATATGTTAAAACTATATTTTTACATTATATATATATATATATATATATATATATATATATATATATATATATATATATATATAAGGACGAAACAGCCGTCCAAATAATGGAAGCTCTAATAATAAAAAAAAAAAGCCAACTCTTAACAATATTAACTATGAACAAAGCCACAATGTGCTAACCGTATTCGGAAACTAAAAACATCACTACCACACACTGAACATACACAGAACACACACACTCTACTAAGCTGATAATTGAATCATCCTTGATAATAGCTAAAGGTATAGCCGAAAGCGCTCGGAAATACAGAACATTCGAACAGTTCTTACACACTCTTTGTCCAGAAAAGAAAGCTCTTGTCAGAACACAAGAAAAATTAAATAAAAAACTCAACCGTAGTACCTTGTCTGTCGTTTTTAATGAAACATGCATATGTGTGTGTGTGTGTGTATGTGTGTGTGCATACTAAACTTGCGTATTCATTACATAATGCATCATTAATATTTTATCTAGAATGTCATTACCTAGAATGTCATTTTTAAATTTAATGCATATATATATATATATATATTTATATATATATATATATCTCTCTATATATATATATATATATATATATATATATATGTGTGTGTGTGTAATATATGTATAGTTGTGTAATATGCAAAATAACACAGCTCACAGAGATAATATGAATAACATTAATATATTTTATCGAAAGCAAAATGCATAGAAATTACAAACTGAACGAATGTTATAAAATCAATTTCACTCCGGTTGAACAAATTAAACATATGAAGTTAATTTTTTACTACAAAAAATTGAAAACAGCCTACCTTATGATGAGCTATAACAATTCCCTACTAAATAAAAACTGCATAAGACCAACATCATTTACGAATTAAAATGCCCCAAAGGGAACTGTGATCAAGACGAAAACAAATTCAGATATAGTTATCTTGAATATACTACCATTAGGTTATGAAGGCTGTTGACTCCCACATAGACCTCCATATGGACATATTTAAACCAGCATGGAAACCTAACAACCTCGATACACAATATATTTGTCGACACAAATGTGAAACTTAACTTCAACTATAAAAAGTGTTTAAAAATAATGGAAAAAATTAATCCTAAAAAATTATCATAAAAACAAAACACATACAATTACTATCAATTATGAACACGGTCATAATGAACTGGCCGTATGCAGGAATTAAGAATATGTCTACCTTTTAGCAACTTATACACCGTTTACACTAACACAACAAAAATCCTTGAAAATAACTGATAGATCAGTCGAAAGTGCTCGGGACGGAGAGTCATTAGGATAATTTCTACACTCGCTAAGTCTAAAAAAAGAACTTACATATACTTATATAAAACTTAATAGAAATACCTCTCCAGTCAAAAAACATACAGAAAACACGCGTTTGTGTGTGTGTGTATATATTTTAGGATATTACAAGAAAAACATGTAAGAATCGATACACATTTGAAATTGTTTAGAGATTCTTACATGTTTTTGTTTTAATATTATAAAATAAATAATATTGCTCTATGTATTGAGCTCTCTTTTATTCGTTCTCATCATATATATATATATATATATATATATATATATATATATTTACTTATATTTATGTGTGAATTTTAGGATATTCACAAATATTTTTATTTTGGGTGTAAGAATTATTTAGTCGATTTTCCGTATTTTTAGGTGTAAAAAATGTTAGAAAGTATCGGACACGCTGTAGTTACTGCGTATCGCTTGTTCGTAGCTTGGTGGAGCAGTGTCGGCCAACTCACCGTCCATTGCGTTGAACGTACGAGGTGGACGGAAAGGATCACGCGATACAAAATCACCAACGCCAGTTGTCGACGTCGTCGTCGATCGCATGATTATACTCCGTTGTGGCTTCGCTTTTTCTTTTTTCATGTAGAATACGAACAATCCGATACCAATCGCACATGCTACAAGGCATCCAATGACAATCCCCACAACGGCACCTGAAGAGAAACAAACAAATAAAAAATAAGTGAAGTAACGTAAATTTCAGGCTTTGTGGAATTTAAAAGCCGCACATTAGGATTTTAAGAATTATACAAACTCATTTATTTCATTAACAAAGTAAAAGGAAATTTAAGTAGTCTGTCGATATACAGGTGTTTGTTTGAGAATATTACCGAATAGCAATTGTTGCAAGAAATTATCCAAAATATACAACAACGTAAAATTCGATGGTGGTAGTTTGATGGTTTTAGGGCTATTTCAAAATCAATGGAAAAGAAGTTGATAAAATCGTTTGAACACTGAACAGCTACACTCACTAATTT